TCCAAGTCGGCCTTTTTGATAAGGTCATGTGACCATGAGCTTTCTGAGGTGGAAAAGAAACTTGACGAAGGATGTCATAATACATATAATATAATATATGGTACAGTGGGGGAAATAAGTATTTGACCCCTTGCTGATTTTGCAGGTTTGCCCACTTACAAAGAATGCAACGATCTATAACTTTAATCATATGTACATTCTAACAGTGAAAGACAGAATCCCAAGAAAAATTCCAGAAAATCACATCATATAAAAATTGATAACCATCTGATGAGGAAAAATAAGCATTTTTTGTAAGTACTCATTTCCCCCACTGTATATATTATGTGGTAAAATATTTACCATATAATAATACATAATCTTATGTTCGTGGGCCTAAAGATATTACTTTGTTGACCCTGGATGAAATATTTAGGATATTTGATGTGACGATGTAGTTTATTGGGTTCATTAGTTTTTTGCATACGTTTCCCTCTCTCTAGCTCGCTCTCTCTCTCTCTGACACACACTCTCTCTCTCTCTCTCTCTCTCTCTCGAAATAAAACTGAACTGAATTGAAAGCCACCTACACGTCTCTGGCCGTCAGGTAGACGTCTCCCTGGAACTGGGTGCAGAGCGCCCGGACGATGGCCAGGCCGATGCCCTTGTTGCCTCCCGTTACCACGGCAACCTTAGTCGACATGTCTGGAAAAAAAAAGAAAAAGTTTTGGAATAAAAACTTTATTGTATGCCACTTTTCTAAACTTTTCTTTCAATATTTGATGATTGTTTATTGGTTTAACCTGTTTTTTTTATGACTGTTTTGCATTCATTTACATGGTAAATATAATCAATGTATTTTTTTTTAAACATAATATAATGGTTAAATATCATCAAACACTCAGTGAGAGAGAAAAATGAAAAATTGGAATTAAAAATGTATTGTATACCACCTTTCTAAACGTTTCTTCAATATTAGATAATTGTTAATTGGTTTAACCTGTTTTTTATGACTGTTTTGCATTCATTTACACGGTAAACATAATCAATGTAATTTTTTTCAACATAATATAAGGCTTAAATCCCATCAAACACTCGGTGAGAGAGAAAAACAAACTTTCTCACAGCAAAAGTCACGCACTAAACAGCCCTGAAAGTGGAGGCCGGCCCACAGAATCCTCTCAGGTTTTTGGAGGTTTTCTGCTTTAAAACCCGATTAAAATCAGTGCACCTTTGGCACACTTGGGAGGAATTTAATCCATTGAGGAGATCTATTGGATCTCAATCAGGCGTGTTGGAGCAGGAAACATGTCAAACCTGCAGGACGGCCGTCTTTACTGGGTTAAAAGCTAAAAAAAAACATTCCTAACTGCCTTTATTGGGGTTTGTCAGATTCCAGCCCGAAAAGAGCTTTTGCCAATACAGGGCTTGAGGTCTGGAAACAGGTCGATAAGCCTTTCTGTGTAGTTTAAATACACAAAGGCTTTCTTTTAATCATTTACAGATAAGCATAAGAACAATGCCGGCTTCTTTCTGTGCAGCAGACAGGTTCCTCCAGCTTTCAGAAGCTCATGAACGACTACAAATGTAGTCGTTTTTCTAAAGAGGGTGCAGAGTCTTTAAACACATTTATGATTTAGGTAGATGTTATTTGGTTTATGAACATGCAAAAAGGCCATCTGAGCTGTCTTTTTGCAGTTGGACCATCCATCCTATGGGTGATTGTCACGGGGAAAAGATGACAGATTAGAAAAGCTTTAAAAAAAAAAAAAAAAAAACATTGACAAGGCAAAAATGGACCTGCGGCCTTTTTAGAATAACTACGGTTTATGGGATGAGAAAGACTCGAGACAGGGAGGCACTTTAGGATGAAAACCTAATCCAAAACTAAACAAATGACAGGCATTTAAAGACTAAACGGAGTTCCTGGAGCATTTTGGGGGCTAAAAATGAGTCGGTTGGACATTTGCTGTGTCAGGATGAGCGATCCGATAACGTCCAGAAACAGAGATAAACAAAGTCCGGATGCATTTGATTGCATTGACTGCAATGAAGCAGTCGCTTTAAACAAAAAAATAAACGTGGGCGTAGAGGAAATTGCACAATTTCCCAGTTTGTTTAAAAAAAAAATGTTGGATCTTGACGCACGCTGCTATTTTTTTGGTTGCGTAACGCCGAACTTAGCCGTTGAAAACCAGCCTGAAACATCTTCAAATGCAGAAGACAGATGGTTTAAGAGGCTATCTAACAACCAAAAACGATTAAAAAAAGTTGTTTTTTACCTTAAAGCTGGCGGAGTGGAGCAGGGAGCGACGTTCACGGCTGTGGGACAGAGGCGCTACGCAGGAGGTCACTATTAGGAGCTGGAAAAGGGGCGGAGCCACCGAGTCCTTACTGCGCATGTCCGGAAAAACAAACTGACCACGTGGTTAGCGGAGCCTGCCATGGAGACGGAACACACTATCAGAGGCTAACGAAAAGGTATCTTATCTTATTGTTTTTATATACAGGTAGTTTAGCCATGTCGGGTTTTGTGTTGATTTTTCCGGTGTTTAAGATTTATTTTTCAATTTTTATATCATATTTTTAACATGAATTGTTTGGTTGTTACGCTGAAGGAACAGGACGATTTTGACATATTTAAACGTACTAGAAACCACACGAAGATAGTTTTTATCTGCAAGTTCGGCCGAAATGATTATATATTATTTGTGTTGTGTTTAGTGGTTCATGGAGTTCAGTTTTATTGTAGTAAACCGGATAAAGATATGTTGTTTAATGGGGAGTTATCTTCTATTTTTGTTTCTTCGACTAATATAAAGGCAACGCCAGTTTTATTTGACATTGTACATTTCACAATGTGTACAACAGAGAAAAGGTGCAAGACATCCACACACACACACACATAAACAAGATTGTACAGGTAGAAAATGCAATGGTGCATATTGACAATTATAAGTTGCATGCGTCTAACAGGACTATTTTGGCTTTAGTTTTGATTATCTGCACATATTATAGCCAAAAGAAAGAGTAACTGAAAACATATTCAGCAGATTTGGACCTAACTCTTAAAAAATATAGGATCTGAGAGATCTGTTTCCTCTCCACAGATCCGGGCGGCCCGGGGGAGACATGGGGGGCTCCAGTCACAGATCCGGGCGAACTGCCAGGAAAAGAAGGCAAAGACAAGAAACCGGCCCAAATTCTGGTAAAATAAACGCCCTACCGTTGAGGGAAAAAGTCTGAGTCCATCTGAAGAAGTAAAAAATAGAAATTTATTAAAAAGGAAAAAAGGGAAAGGGAAAACTTGATGAAGTGAAACCATACAAGTGGTTCATATGACATACAAAACTGCCCCAAAGTAAAACAAATCATGGTACATTTTATACTTTTATACCCCTCTGAGTCTAAAAAATAAGACGTAAAGTCTGTCCTTCATTCTGAACCTGTATTAAACAATCCTCCAGCCAAAACATTAAGAGATAAAGTATAAGGAGACCCTCTCTGAGACCTAGAAGGAGGAATGAGTCCCATGAGAAAGAAAAAGAACCTTTAAAATCTTCACTTGTGGAAAGTTACCAGAGAGAAATTAAGAAAGTGATTAAGAAAGTGATTATACAGTGGGGGAAATAAGTATTTGACCCCTTCTTGATTTTGCAGGTTTGCCCACTTACAAAGAATGCTTATTTTTCCTCATCAGATGGTTATCAATTTTTATAAATTCATATGATGTGATTTTCTGGAATTTTCTTTGGGATTCTGTCTTTCACTGTT